TTGCTATGACAGGCAGAACCCGAGTAGAGTGCAGCCGTCTGAATCCTCATTTCACATCTTACATTTCTGCAGTGAGCAGTGTTACTATTTTCGCGACTTCGACCGCCACCCGTGTACCCAATAGCTTGCAAGAGAAGCGTTACTCAGAAGGGAGCATTCTCCATGTATATGTTGCGGCTTCAGTTCTTCCTAAAAATAATAAGTTAGCGTAATTATGTATTCATCTATGACTTCGCAGATGTCCTTTTTCACAGTCACTGCTTCATTCTTCATTCTTCCTAATACATGTCAACGACATCTGCTTTCACACAGGTAGTTCTGAAGCCGGTCTGTGAAACTCCATTACAGAAATAAATGGTTCATCCCTATAGTATCCAATCACTTGCCGGACAGTGCAGTTTCTTTATGAGGAAATACAGAGCCTGCATAACTAGTGTTAAACTATCACTCGTACCCGGACTGAGCCTTAATACATGACTCTCGGAAGGTAGACAGGCCCATTGAAATTTCATCTACTGAGTACAAACCGGCAATTCAATAACGTAGGCAGCAGATACTACACACTGGACCACAAGCACCCTTCTAGCATATCCCCTGATCTCTGCCTACTGCGCCCAAATCTAGGTAGTACTTCCGAAAGGAATTTAGATATCTAGAAGCTCCTTGATTCCAGTACCATCGAGTTACCAAGTCTTTAGAGTGATGTGCAGTAAACTCCAGACAAGCGGAAATTGGATATCCACCACAGCTGAACTGAAAACCATCGCATATCACCCATCTATTTTCACATGTCGATAACCTGATAGCAAAAATCTCCAGATTCTTCGTCAACAAAACCTCCAGTTTCAGAAGCTATCATTAGCAGCTACATATCGCAGCCGAAGAATACAGTACATGCCTTTTTAGATGTGGTGGGCTTTACCAGTTCTGTCGTATTTTGATCAACGTGATGAATGGAATCGCCTGCTTGCGGAGGACGATATATAAAGCTACTTACTAGGCACATCACTTTGTTCGTATATACTGGTTACCTATCGAGATAAGAACGGGCAAGATGGTAACCCTAACAGAATCCTAGGAGTGAGAAGTCAGAATGGTATTACATTCAATTAGAAAAAATCATTCGAAAAGAACATTCGGAGTTTTCAAGCATAGAGGTTATCGAGTCGGAATCCGAGCCCGATATCGGGATCACATACCGATCCAAATGCACACAGGCATGACGTCAAAATGCTTACGCCTTGCTCATAGCACAGTTGACATTTCCCAGACAACATTCAACTGATGGTCTAGAAACGAAGTTTTTCCCTTCGACCAGATGTACCATCCTCTTTTGAAGGTCTAAAGTTGCCACAACTCTGTGGTCTACATGTTTCCCTAGGAAATTTCCCCTGTTTAATCACACTGGTGGTGGCTCTGTGGTTTAGTCACTGTCACTAAGGTGCTTTGGACCCTATTGTTCGAGGTTCGAACATTGCCACCGCCACCCAAATTTGGTGGTAGGTAACTGCTGTCGTCGGACTCAGTACCACGAGTATCCCCAGTGCGACCTTACGTGATTCGCAAGTTGAAGTCTCGGGGCATAAGTTACCGATTTCCATCACTAAATAGCAATCTTCGTGACTATGGGTTCCACCCCACCCGCTATTCATCACACAAAAAAACTATTCCATATGACTGATACCCATCCTTCAGAAATCAACTGACGGTAAATGCTGTACCCTCTCGAACATTCTGTAGTAGATGGTAGTCGCATTAGCAGAGACGTGAAAGCCCGATTCTGCAGCTCAAAACGGGATCCTCCTATCAAAGACAAGCTCAGTGAATAAATTTCAAGGATATACGTATTTTATCACACACTTTCGAGTGATGAGCAGCAGACGGATAAAGCCGCATAGCCACGAGGACCAGTCGTTCAGTAATGGAAGCCGGTAACCTAATCCCCGGGCATTGGAGAGGGGAGCCATATAAGGCCCCGGTGGGCTGGGCGTGATATCGGACCGAACGACAGCAAAGCTGTGTACCACGAATACTACCGCCGTTTAATGCAAAAGCATAACTGTCAGGAACAAAACAGCGTGTCTTGCCCACAACTGCTGTGGATTACCACAACAGTTGTGGGTAAGACATTCAGCTAATTCTCTCACGATGGTCATTGTAATAAACTGGGATGTAAACATGAGAAACGAAATGACTTTGTTTCAATAAAATAATCGGTCGCTAAATGGACTGATCATTTTCCCTAAATTGTAAGTACACTAAAGGGGTAACGAAACAGATCGCCATTAGAAGTCTTCGGTCAAATGGTTGTGATAACTTTTAATGGGAGAAAGCTCACGCAAACGCCATACTCAATGGTTCAACTAAAATGCACAACCAAACTCATTTACAAATCTGACGACAGAAGATATCGATAAACGGGGCTTGAGTGAGTGCGTTTCCGAGCGACGGACAGTGGGATGTGGGCGCACAAAGTACCACGGATCTTGCCGATACCCAAACACACGCACATACATGGACGGGGAACACACGCAGACCCATCCGCGTGAGCCCGTGTTTCGCAGCAGGGATATAGGATGCAGTTATAACTGAAATATGAATATGAAGTCAATGTGTCAAGGCAGGCTCTGATAGTAAACGGGATCACAGCATACACTGTGTCTTCGGAGTGGATACGAATGTGAAGGGACGGTCAGAGATGGAGGTGGACAAGTAGAATGGCGCAGAATAGTTTAGGACCGAACCTTGTGAGGCAAGCTTAAACAGATCGATTGTGACGGCAGAGTGCGAGCATGAAATTTAAAGTTACGAAGGTAAGCACCAAACGAGGGGTGAATGGAAATGGGTAAGGCTAAATTGGATTCTTCGCACCAAACACATAAAAACATGGCTGAAATCACGGTAAACCATTTTGCCGTCGCGGAGATTGTGACTGAATGGGAACGAAATGCAGTGTGTGGGGATTCGAAAAGCGTACTGGAGTGAAGGGAACAAAGGTGACAAGGACTGTATATTGGCTATAAAAAGCCTTCATACCTAAGAAGCCGGGGGACTTTGTGTACAAATCTGAATGACATACCACCAGAATGAACAGGACGAGAAACCCTAACATTGATAAAAATGACGAAAGCATTATGGCATCAGCTGTTGTTGTTGAGGAAGAGTCGGAAACCCAAGCAGAGCAGGTGTTCTCAAGTTAGTTCATCGGTGGTAAAGACGTCAGTCACGTTGGGTAGAATACGAGTGAATGAACACCGCGTGCGGGGAACAGATCGCCTCAAGATTAAGGATTTATGTACAGAGAAAAAACCGACTCCAGCAAACGGAAGCACAGGTTTTTCACAGTAGGGAAACGGGACAGATCACAAGTTGTGAAACAATGGGATATCAGGAGCACATCCACTGAGCACTGAAACATTGACTCGTGCACTGTGCTGTAATCGGTTTGTGACATGAGGTTTTCGTGTATCGAGACATGATGAAAAGCGCACGGGATGAATAAGCTTTGGACACAGCTCCTATTTGAATAATCTATATCTACGATCCTTTGGGGACCCCAACAAATGACATCCCACAGGCATGAGCTTAGGTCGTGGCGAGTGGTCGATACTTAAAAAAGAGAAACCACTAGACCCTGCACTCGCGAGCCTGGAGAAGCATGGATAATGGTTGGGATTGATTCGATATGTTATTCTTGTAGCCCAACTTGTATTCACATGCCGATATCTGAGCGATGTGTGTGGATAATCAAACAAACATTGATTTCGAATTCAACTGGACACAGGTGGAAAGGCATTGTGGGAACTGAGGTGCCTGTGACCCGATTCGAGGGCAAGGATTAGTGAAAGTAAAGTTGAATACTGGAAGTGATAACTTCAATAATTCACTTGAATCGAAATTGCGTAAACCGACTGACTTGGGTGGCTCCAAATGGAGGAAGAGGATCATCGGATTTGTTGTTCAGGGGAAGTGTCCTGACCACACGTTAGGTACACCAAAAGCTTTGGTGAGGAAAGCACGCACGGACTAGAGGGTGAATGAGTAAGAAGAGGGAAAAGAGATCCATCCTTCACATGCTCTACGCCTCCGTCACGGTTTCTCGTGAATCAACATTACACGATTCGTGTGAATTGTCACAAACAGACTGTTGTTTCACTTCGACCAGAGGATTAGGAACAGCAGTGGCAGGATCACCGGGTGTTGTAGAGAGATATGTTGAACTGTCATTTCCATTGCTGCCTCCATTTAAACTTTCAACTTGATAGAGCCGTGTGGAGATATCTGAGTCCAACTTATTCCTCGAGTCCGGTTCAGGCGCCGTGCTTTCAGCTGTGTTCATTGTGGAAGACGTGGATGATAGAGTCCTGTCCTCTGTACCACTTGGGTCACCAGTTTCGGTTGACTTCTGTGTTTGTTGTTGTTCCATGGCTTGTTTGTCTTGCTGCTCCTTTTGTTGTTGTAGCAGCCGTTCTTGTTGTCGCTTACGAGAGGCTGCTAGACCAGCCCATACAGTATCCGGACCAAGAGCTTCCGCTGCATACGCCATGATAGCGACACGACTAGGGGACAAACCGTAAGCCATAGCCATAGCCACCGGATCGGGGATACGCGAATGCATTGATGCTTCTGGATTAGTACCGGGTGCGTGATACATGTACGGGTAAGGTGCACCACTCGAACCACTAGGTGCGTGTGCAGCATGGCCGTAATAGTGCCGATTATATCGATCCTCCTCTCCACCGCTTTCATCCTCCTCATCATCATATTCTTCTTCATCACCCTTCGTTTCGTCATCGTCTTCGTCGTCTTCGTCCTCATAGTCCTCATCGGTAGGAACGGGACTCATGTCCGGTATGTTGTGAAAGTTACCAGGACCCTGAAAATCAAGGGTTAGTAAGAAGAGTACAGCCGTTTTTTATCAAAAACACCACAGTATGCCGATAAAACTTAGAACAGCTAAACCCCCGCTGAAACCTAGTGATTCATCGTCATAGCAAAACAACATGAGTATAATTCTAATGATGCAATGAAATTAAGTATTCATGTAAAACAATCTTGCTCATAAACGAGCTGCGTCATCTGTACCTTCGGTTCTCTGACAGAATAGCAGCGAAACTTGGTTTAGTCAGCGTTTCACTAAAGTTAAAAGGTCACGTGTATAGGGCCTTTGAGGAGTTTTGCCCAGCTATTGACACCCTTGACTGGTGTGTGCAAGACAGTCAACAATTCGAGGTTTTCGGTCACTGGTGTTTATGCGCAATTTGTTGCATGTAACATGATTTGAGAGTTCTAGTACCATCAAGGTGGGCCGTGTTTGCATGTAAGT